AATTATAAAGCTATGTAATATTGAATATAATTTTTATAGTGACCTGACATTGGTCAGGTACTTATACAGAATACAGTAAGCCATTTTGAAAATTTATGAATGCTATCAACAAAATCCAAAAATCCCTAATTTTTTTAATACAAATATATACAGCGTAAGAATCCTTCTAAAAGACCATTTATTGAAAATTTATTGAAATTAAGAACAAAATTTGCGTTCATTAGAAAACTTTTTGCACTTATTTACTTTAATAGAACTTAAAAATTTATTTTCAACCAAATTATTTTACTTTAAGAGAATAATACAAACGTACTGTAAGTAAATCATTAATCTTCCTCAAAATAATTAAGAAACCAAAATAAAAGCACAAATTTAGCATTCAATATTTAGTAGGTTTTGCTCTTAACTCTGAATTTTTGATCAGATAACTTCAATATTATTAAAAAAAAATAATAAATTTCTCTTGAACGCAACAACTTATACTTGTTAAGCATGAAACATTTGAATGGATTTTACTGTATTCTGGATTTTACTTTTTAAAACTATAAAAAGTTTTCTGATCTTTATTTCTTTTCTTAATTAAAGTTATGATTTAAAATAATTTCTTAAAAGTTCATTGTATACAAGAACAATTTAATAAAACACATATTTCACTAATCCATCTCTACTGTATACAATATAGCTACACCGGCATCATCTTCGTAAAACAAAAAAAAAATTTCAAAACTTTCAATTGAGTGTATCTTTGTATGAAGTTTTCCATTGATACCCGATTTTCTTCATACATAATTTTCAATTTTAATTCATTTTCTCTATATTATGACACTATAAGTACAATTGTATATGTATAATCCGAAAACAAGCAAAAGTACTTTCAGTACTATACAATGCAATTCAAACTTTTCTTCATTTATACAATGAGAATATTTTCAATTTTAATTAAATTTCATTGAGTCTTTATTTTCACTTTAAGATCTAAAAGTGAATTAAACTTTTGAATAAAAAAAAACAAATTTGAATTAAATTGTGCACAGTTTATTATATTTGAATTTTGTTTTTTGTTTTGAACACAATTAAATCACTTCATCAAAAAAGAAAAAAATTATTTTGAAACGAACATTATAATGTACATTGTATTCACATAGTCAAGCATAAAATATTTATTTTGAAGCTTAAAAAAACTCCATATAGACAGAATAACAAAGAGTTAAATGTTAATTCATCCACATATTTATTACAAATACAAAATTTATTAAAAAATTTTAGTGTAGATTGCGATCTATAAATAATAATTCAATACAATAATTTACATACTCTTGCTTATTTTAATTAATATACAATTCCTTATAATATAAAATACCTTATAAGCACACACAATACTTGAGAGAAAATTGAAATAAACCACTATCCTTAGCAGTAGGCTGATTTTAAACCACTGCATTCAAAAAATAATATGAGTTTCTTGCATTATTCTAATTTTAAAATTTTACATGGCTCCCTGTACTAAATGTAAAAGCAAACCAGAAGACAGTTCTGTATAATAATATTCACCTAAATGTTATTTTCCGTTCGTGTTCGCCTAAATATCTGCAATTTATTTTTGTTTTGAAAAAATATTAAAAAGGACGAAAGCGTCAAAAACAAAATTTTATTTATAGGACTTAAGAGCTAAATAATTTTTTTTAAATATTTTTTTTTTCAATAAATAAAATTTATTATAGAAAGAAAAAGTGAAATTTTTATAATTGGATTTAAATAGGAAAAACTTCGGAACTAAAAAAAAATTTTAAAAGCAAAAACATTTTCTGTCACATTAAAGAATAACCCCTTAGGTCAATTTAAAAAAAACAAAAGAGTATTTATTAATGTCACTAAATTTTCATATTTTTTACCGTTATACACATGTACATAGAAACTCATGTCCAGTTATTTGTCTTACTAGCCAGATATTTTGAATTTCTGTTAATAAAAATAATTGGTTTAAAATTACGCTTGCAAAATGTACGAATATTTTAAACCTTTAAACCCTTTTTTTAATTTTTCTTCAATTTAGATCTTCAGATGTTTTAGAACTTAAATGACTTAATATCAGTACAAGTTGAAAAGGAAGAATTTGTTACCTCCATCATTAAATATTTTTTGAGTGAGCAATGCAATTTCAAAACTTAAAAAAAATTTAGAAATTTTTTTTTTTTATTTAAGAATTATAGAACAAATTAAAATCAAAATCAACACGTTAAATGTGCTCAGGTTTCGTCGAAGACCACAATATTTTGTAGGCTTATATAATGACATCTGTCGCGAATGTATTTAGACCTAATTTTTGTCTTCAGCTTTATGCTTAAGAAACTAAATTCAACTTTTTCCTGAAAGTTAATATTTCATTCATTTAAAAAAAAAAAATTTAATGTTTAGGACGCAAAGTGTTAAAATCATTTGAGAGAAATTTAAAAATTTTTTGAAAACATAATTTAGTTAAAATTAAAAATTATTTGTGTTACACTTATCACAATGTACAAAAGAGAGCATCAAATCATTTATAAGTTACCGTAAATAAAATAAAAATAATTAATTAATTATTAGAACATTATAAACGAGTACTAATTAACATCAGTATTTGATAAACAGCTTGTAAAATGGCTAAAAATTTTTTAAAATTACTAACAGTATAAATATAATTTTTAATTAAATAAATTTCCAAATTCCACTTAATGATTTAATCAAAAAATTTTCTATTTCTGATAGTCGGTTCGGCTGATCAAAATATTAACATACATATAAACTTTTTATTTATGTCTACTTTTCTCACAATATGTTTTAGTTTCCTGAAGGTGCAAAAACTAAAATTGTTTTTATAAAATAATCTCAGGAAAATTTATAGCTATGCACAAAAAATTCACATGTACTCCATATTATATTTTTCCTATATAAACATATTTATACATACATATATAATTGAACATTGTATGTGTATTGTAGACTTTATTACGTAGAATATAAAGAAAATGAATAGATACCATAAATATATCTAGAGTACATACGTGAATTTAGCGAAATAAATGCACACTTTCTAGGTCATGGAACTTTAAATGGTTGTCTGCTGCTTTACAGATTTTTAGTTTTTTCACATGCTTTCTATACTACGTATGTAGGTATGTATTTGTATTGATATCTACATGTATTCAAATTTTAATAATAAGCGACAACACCAATTTTTTTTTTTCATTTTTGTTTTATTTTCCTTTTTATTTTTCAATTTTCACGCTAACAAAACTTTTGATTTTCTTTTAATTTTTCTTTTTTTTTTCTTTCTTTCTTTAAATGTTTATTTGGTCGCTCTTCTTTTCAGATCGTTTTATTATTTATCTTATGGTAGCTTTTGAAAACCGTATAAAATTGCACATTATATAATATTTTATTGTATGTGTTTTTGTAAGTGAATATAATGAATAAAATGACAAACAATATAGAATAAACGAATACAGAACAGACACAAAACTGTTTGCAACTTCCGTAAAAATAATTTTTTCTCTCTTCAGTTTATATTCCAACATTTAGGAAAAACTACTATACGTTATATATACACATAACGTGTACATGTTAACTTTAAATTACAATAAAATAATATAGGCTGACAAATTTTCGTAACAACATCAAATTTTTAAATTTACATTTATAATACGCAATATATAAGAGTGCATGCAATATGAAATGCAATATAAATTATAATATGCAATAGCAAAATCTAGTTATGTGTACTTGCATTATAAACAATATGTACTCCACTTTCCGTAAACTTCAGTTTCCCAACAAATCTTTACAGTTTACTGCATGAATATATTTAATATCTTTCATTTCAAAGCATCTTCTCTACATTTCCGGGACTTAAAATATCCCATCTTTCTTCAACTTTTTGATACGTGGCTCAATGAATGTTTGAATCGAGACATGTTGTTATGCATATTAAAGACAATATAAGCTAATATTGATTATTAGAGCCTTTGAATCGAATTTCTATTGTGTTATAAATAAAAGGACAACTTACAGAATATATCAACGCTTGTTACAAGTACAAATGGCACAGAAAGCAATATAACTGATTTTTGTGTTACATTCTACATTGTGGAGACCCAAACGTTTTTTAAATTCCAAATCAAAAATTCCTATATATATGAGAACAAGCAAATTTAAAAAACAAAAACTTGTGTTTCTTAAAGAGTCCTTTCATTGATGAAAAGCACCACTTCTTCTCGAAAATTTTAGAGACACCCAGTTTTTGTTTATTTGGTATATAATAATATCTTTCAAATATTAGATAATAATTTTGTTAACAAACAATGGCGAAATGCAAGAATTAGGCTCATGTTTTAATTGTATTGGCAATTTATCTCAAGCGTATCTTGAACTGTCTTTTATACAAAAGGCAGAGCTTGTACAAATCCTTAAATCACTATTTACAAGCATAAACAAAAAATATTTGGAAAAATGACTGAAAATTTTTTACTTGGGTTCATCAATTATTTTTTTTTTTTTAGAAAAGTCTATGTATGTCTAAGGAACCATGAAATTTCTTAAAATTTTCTGATACCCAACATTATATATGAAGTGAAGTGTAAAGCTTCAAGCAGCATACCGCAATTAAATTTATTTATAAACATTTCAAGTTCCGCATATTTAAACATATTTTATTCTTGTCCTGTTAATCTTATACATACATACATATATGTATATCTATATAGTAAACATGATGAAAGCATATCAAAGTAAATTGATCCCATCCATTTATTAAAATATCCATTTTACTAATGTAGCCTTTGACTGGTAAAGATAACTAACTTTAATTTCTGTTTACATTTTCAATTTGTTTTTTTTTTTCGATTTAAATTTTTTTTACTTTTTTAACTTTTTATATATATACATACATATATATATATATATATATATATATTTTCATTATCCTTTCAAAAACATATTTTTTCATTAATGCTTTTCTTTTTCAGAGTCACGTACAATAATCGCCTACATTTTATAATAATGGGTGAGTTTATAAGTAAAAGGAGGAAAATAACTTTGACAATACTGTGCCAAAAGGGAACGTAATCATTTACCATTACTTCAAAAAAACAAAATATAAAAAAAGGGACAAAAGGATATAGTACAAAAATAAACAAAAATAAAAAAACTCAGTCAAAATAACCATAAAAAAAAGGAACGCATACAATAAATAAAATATGGACGGTCTGCAAATAACTTTTATATGTGTTATGGTGATAGTTGTTATATTATTGATTGTTTCTTTTATTTGTCACTATTTTGGACCACGAGCGATAGCATGGTTTCGTTCTAACCGCGAAGAGAAAATTGGATTATCTAAAAGTAAAATATTTCATGCGAATGGTTATATGGTAAGGAAAAATTTTAAATGAAAAACAAACAGTTGTCATTAACAGTGTAGTTAGTTTTAATTTTTCTAAATAAATAAATTAAAAGTTTGTTTTCAGTATAAATAACAACATATCTTATATTTTTAGGTATACTTTCATGTATAGGTTATAGTAGAATGGATAGCTTAGGATCCACAATAAGAAACAATATAAATTTACCTAGATTTTTTCTGTGACTTCTATTAAAATTTATAGAATAACTTCAAGAAATTTTAAAATCACGTGATAGCCATTTGAGAAGACTATTCTAACCTTATATTTGAGCCTAAATCTGTATGTAAACAAAATCTATTGTTTTTATGAAAATTAAAGAAAAATTTATTTAAATAGATGAAACCTTCCTAATCACAAGTTAATCTTTAAAGTAAAATACTTAATATGCCCAAAATATAAAAAATCTGATGTGACGACCACGATGTGTATTATCCAGTTTTGTGAAAGTGTGACACAAGATTATGAAAATACTTTTTAAAAATTTTTTTCCAATTTTAAGGAAGTTGATAAGCTTTTAGTTGACATACATAGAAAAATGTAAATTTAACTCTTAGTAGTTTTGCTCTTTGCTATTCGAATTCCCTGAAAAGTTCGCCAGGTAGTTTAGGTAACAACAATAACTCAAATGTTGGACTTTACGAAATTCCATCAGTTACGTCCCCAGTTCAGTTTCCGAGCCCTGGTCTTTCCAAAAAAATTATGGGTTAATTGTTTTAACACCTCAAATTTAAATATTACTTTTCAAGGAAATTGATTGATTATTTCTCCTTATATGTGCAAAAACGCTACAATCGGCTCTCGAAAGTTGCAGATCCCGAGTCGTGATATATAACAAAAATTAATCAACGTGTCCCATAGGCAAAATAAACTCACATTTAAAATTTCATGAAAATTTGTTTAGCCGCACTCGAGATACACGTGTGTACATACAAAGCGGCAGATCGATAGAGAGACAGACACATAGTTTTACAATAGACAAATAGTTTTTCAAAATAGAGCGCTTCCCCTCTATGGAGACGTGAGTTCCCATCAAAAACTCGCGTCGAAATTTCATGTCATCTACAATCCTACAACCAGAAAACCTTCTTAATAATCACATAAAATATGCATAAATAACTAATGGAATCACAAGATATTAATATTTCTAGCTTTTATCTGCGACTTTTCTTAGCAATGATATTATATAAATATTCATAGACAGTACTATAATTTGTAGCTATTATATCAAGTTATAGCAATAAATATCAAATACATAAGAGTAAACAAAAAATTTCCATTAATTTTAATTAAAAACTCCAATTTTTTTACAGATACATTCTGGATCCGATTTTCTTCAACTTAGTTCAACTGGTAGCTTTAAACGTTTTGATTCTATTGATCGTGATTATAAACAAGTAGGTCAAAGTTCAATTACCTCACCCTCATGGAATATCTCACACGCTGATACAAATATACCACCTCAACCATTAAGACCTGCACCAGCACCATCATCAACATTAATACGACAAAATACACTGATTAAAATTAAACAACAACATCAACCACATATGATAATGTCAACTCATATTACGGAAATAAATAATGAAAATAAAAGTCAGTCATCTGATATGCAACAATTTTCAAATCAGCAAATTGCTGATAAACAAATAACTACGATAAAACAAAAAAGTTTAGAAAATTATGAAGCATCAACATCATCAAAATCAACATCATCACCTTCCATTAACATTTCAGCTATACCAAGACCAGTTGCAAAACGTCAACTATCTACACCCGTTGAAAATTATTTCACATCTGTAAAAGGATCTAGTGGTTTTGTTGGTATTAGTAATGGTATTATAAGTAATGGAGATATATCCGGAAAAATAAATTTATCACAAGTTGTAAATAAAATTCAAGCTAATAATAATAATAATAACAATAATAATAATAATATAAGTAATAATACCCACAACAACAATAATAATAACAATAATAACAATAATGGTAATAACAACATTAATAATAATCATGATAGAAGATCAAGTTTATCATTCTCATCATCATCTTCTAATAATACATCATCGTCTAATATGTCAGGAAAAATTATGTCACCTAAAATTCGAAGGCAACGTTTATTAATGGAACATCATCAGCAACAGCTACAAAAAATTACCAACAATACATCAAACAATACTAATCCATTTTTAAATGGAAATAATTTTAGTGTGTCTGAGTTTGATGAAAAATCATTATCATCATCAATATCACCACCATCACCAGCAGTAGAAGTAACAATAGACAATCCCATAAATAGTGAGAATATAACAAATGTTATTACGAATACATGTGATATGAATAATAGCAGCAATGAAACAAACTTAAAATTTTCAGATAATCTTGAAAATACATTAATTCAAGACTCTAAGAAGCAAACAAATTCAATTAATACTATTGAATATTTAGATAGAAATATTAATTTATCATTTAAGAATGAAGTAAATAATAGTAAGAATCCTTTTACAGCTGATACTATTTTGGAATATCAACGACAACGTCAAAAACAAGCTAATATATCTTCATCTGATGATGCCTTCGATCTACTACCTGAATTCAAAGAACCTCCCAAAACTGATTTAGATAGATTTACTATATTTAATTTTGAACCAGATAGCATTAATACAATTTTAGGTAATCAACAGCAACCACAACACATACTAGATACCAAAAATACAAATAATTTTTCATCCTTACAATATGAAGTTAATCATGAAAATGACAAAAGAAGTAGAAGTGCTTCATTAAATTCTCCAAGGTTATTTCAAACAAATCATATTAATAATAAAAGTACAATGTCACTACATGAAACTGTGAATGCTACTATACCGTATACCAATCGTATATGTAGCATTGATACAATTAATAATTCATTACCATTTTCAATTCAAGGAACGACTACATCAGTTCAATCACTTTTCGACACAAATTTTATTAATGATTCCACTAAACAACAACAGCAGCAGCAATTATTCAATAATTATAATTACCATCAGAATGAAGTAACGACCACTGCCTTTAGTCCGTTACCAATGCCAGAAAATTATAATGTTCAATCGTTACTATTAACTGAAAATGATAATGATCTAAATAAAATTCGAAGTCCAAATAAATATAACAATATGGAAACAAGAAATTTTTTATTGAATCGATTCGATTCAAATATCGATAAGATTATAAATCAAAATATTGATTATAAAACATCAAATCTGTATAATCATAATAGTACATCGGTTCCTTCATTATTCACTTTAAATAATGACAATCGTAATAATATTAATGAGACCGATTTCGCAAAAGATTTTTCAACTCTTTCATTTTGGAATAATATCAATACAATATCGAGTTATCGTGGTGAAAGTGCTGCTTCAAAACTTTCTAATATATTAAATTTTCAAAGAAGAGCTTCATCAGCTACACAATTACTGAACTTCGAAAGAAAACCAACAACATCTAATGATCAACACGAATATCGAACATCAAAGTCATTTAAATTATATAACGGTAATTGTGGTGGCTATCAGTCACCTTACTATAGTCTACAAAAGACCTTGTTTACAACATCAACATCACCACCCGAGAAATCCGCCTTAAAAACTTCTGCATCTAACACTTCACTGTTTGATTACTCGAGCGGAATATCACAGTTATCCAAATATTTTGGAATTCCACAACCCGAAAATTTACCAATATTAAAGGGATCCGATGGGTCTTCATTCAATAAACAGACAATAAACTCAAGCCACCATCAACAACAGTTAGAAGAACAAATGAATGTTCCTATGAGCGCCTCAATCAATCAAAGTAAATTAGAATCTATTAGTAATTCTAATGTTAGAGAAACGACGAACACTTCTAGAATGCAACAACAAATTTCTGAATGTCAAGAAGAAAATTTTAATTTTTATCAAAAACAACCGGCTATTAATTCGCCAAGTAGCCCTAAAATAATATCTTTGCAAAATTCTAATATTATAAGTCATAATTCACCTTTTAATAAAGCTACTTGCACACCTTTTCAAATACAAGATTCAAGTACAATAAACTCTAACTTGTCAGGAGAACGTGCTCCAAGTATTAGTAATTTAGCTCAAAATAATTTAATAAGAAAATATTTAGACTCACCATGTTCTGATGTATTTGATGATATCGAACAAATGATACGAAGACGACATAGAAATCGTTCACATTCCGAAACTGAAGCAACCGAAAATGATTTAAAAGTATTTAGTAGGCATTCAACATTTCGTCGTTCATTGAATACTAATCCATTTATGGAAAAGGGAAAGCATACGTTACATAAAACTTTTTCTGAAAACTTTTTGGCTAAGGGTGTTAATGCAGCTCAACAGCAACAGCACCAGCAGCAACAACAACAACAAAATTATCAAACATGGTCTTTTGGAAGAAATTTTTCTAGACAAGAATCATTGAGTTTCAATTTAGGACGACGTAATAGTTCTCAGAGCTCTATAGATAGTTCTATAGATAGTCTACATCATGCTATTTCATGTGAATCTGTCAATTCAGTTTCTTCAATTCTACTATCAGATTTAGAGCCTGTACAACCAATTGTCACAGGACAACTTTGCGTTGGCCTAAAATATGAAAAGTAAGTTTTTCATTTGAAATTTTTGCGAGTTATGCTTTCATACCAGTGGTAACGAACTTAGCTTTTAAACCTGAATGCGGTTTCCTGTCTTTAATTTACAAGCTTATGAATAATTTTCGTTTTGGAATTTACATTGTCCAAGTTCAAATTTTCGCCTAAAAATTTACGATATTTTCATTTGAACTTTCATTAATTTTTTTCGAATTTTATATAAAATTGAATTTGCTTTTAGAATAAATTTATTAGATGTATTAAAATTCTGGTCCTAAATATAGTTTGCCATAATTATAATCGAACATAAAATACTTACCAGTTATAAACTGAATAATTTTCAGTTCAGTTACAATACTTAACATTATTGCTATTAAACTGCAAAAGTTCAATAACGTTGTCAAACTGCAAAAGTTCAACGTGGACAAAATTAATATTTAATATAAAAAACAATAATACTTTATTTTTACAAATTTTATCTTTAATTTTATTTCTACAATATCAAAATATAAATGACATTTTCACCGTTATTCGATAAAATTTTTCTTCTTTCTTACTGAATTGTTTACATAACCTTAAAAACGTTTAGAAATTTATTTGACATTTTTTTTTAAATTTAATTTCGAAATGAAATTACTGTCAAAATAATGACATTTCCTTCCCCTATTATAATACATTTTCGTTTAGAATGTCATTTCACTTTAATGGCCTTGTTACTATCGCATTCGTAATTTAATATTGTGTATATGAAAGGAAGAAAATAATATGATTGATTTTCTTTTTCTTTAGATGCTATGTTTATATTTGTATGTGTGCACATATATGTATGTATTTCAGATTTTTTTTGTATTATATCGATATTGTTCAATTTCCGGTTTCAATTTTTTTTTTTAATTTTTTAAATTAAATATTGAATTTGCTCGTGTTAAGTTTTGATTGGCATTAAATTTCTAATACCGTAGTTGGAATTTCAATAAATTAGCTTAAGTACATAGACCCTAAATATAGAGTACTATAAAAAATTAATTTTCTACTAACAAATTCATTAATTTATTAGTAGAAAATTAAAAGATCATTTAGTAATTGACTGCAATTGCATCAGTAATAAAAGCTATTACTAAACCTGAAGAAGAATAATTTAAAGGAACTAAAATATTTGGTTCCTTAGGCAACAAAATGGTGATATTTTTACAGGAAAAAATTGGTCAGTTTTATACTTAAGTTACTTGATTAATAGCATTAAACGTTTCTAGAAAATTTCATCTGAAATCATCAGTTAATAAAAGCGGTCCTTCTTTTATATGACATTTAAAATTATTTAGGGTTTATCCTGGAATATTGCCAGTATTTGATCAAAAATTATTGTACTTGGCTAATTAACTACAGCATCAATAAATATTTTAAATTTTTTTCTTAATTGTAAAATAATTTTGTTATTACTCACTTCTAATTCCAATTGTTGTATTTGAGGATCAATGACTGATGAATTTACCCACAATGAAAACTAGTTTTCTTTCTATACACAATAATTAAATTCAAAATTATAAGAACGGTGAAGTTAGTTTTTCCACTAACACAATATTTATTGAACCATTATTTAAAATTAACGCATTTCTAAAATTATTCCATGTCTTCTATTTCCTTAATATTGACTCCATACTTGACTTAATCAATTCAAAATTTACAAACTGAATTTATTGAGATCCTTTTCGAATTTCTGACAAGAAAATATTTTATGTAATACAAAACCCAAGTAAATTAAAAAACAAAATATTTTTTATTTGTATTTATTTTTTTGTTTTTTTTTTTCTTTTTGTTTTATTGCTTTCCATCGAATACTAAGCACAAAAAGATAAAAAAAAAATAATTTATTCTTTTTAGATATTTTCATTCCAATTTTCAAAAATTGATTTTATCTTCAATTCAAAATATTTAATTCACGAATGAAATCAATAACTCTTAATATTGTATAATTTATAAAAAGTGTCTATACATTTTTTTTTCAAAAAAAAAAAAAAATTACCACTCAATATTTGTATCAGTTGATTTGGTGCCCAATTACATTTTTGTTAAATAAAATTTTCATCTTTTATGAAAGTTATAAACTGAAACCTACACAATAATAGACTAACTATAACATGGAAAATATAAAATTCTAGAATTGTGCTTAAATAGAAAAGATTTGCTCTATTAAATTAAATGAACTAAAAAATATATATATATATATGTATATATATGTTTTGCATTTATTTATATTAATTCTTGGAAATTTATATGTAAAACGTGTATAAGGTGTACATAATACCAACTATGGCTCTTCACTATTGAAGGCAACAGAAATTTACAATGTTTACATCAGAATACTATGCGTCTCCCTCACTATTCCCTTTCTCATAATCTTTATATTAATAAACCATATTTTAAAATTAAAAATTTTAATGTCAGACTATATTCATTAATTATTTTAGTTATTTAATTTAAGGAGTAAGTAAGTTCTTATCTATTACAGGACTTATGTGCTGTGACAAGAAAACTATTCAATTTTACTGAAAAATTTATAACTGTAGGGAGTAATTTTACGAATTTCGTATTTTCCGTATTAGAATAGAATTTAATTTAAGGCGATATTAGAATAGAATTTCAATTCAACATAGAATATAGAGAATTCAATTCAACTATGGTGATTTCCACTTGTCACAGAGACTAAAATTTAAAAAGAATCGACCTTTTTATTTTACCATATTATCATAAATTCATATTTGATTCCGATTCATAAGCATTTCTTTTCTTGCAATCATCTTTGATAACACCCTGTTAACATTCTGTTCTCGTTTCATATATGTGTATATTTATATATGTACGTCTTACATAAACTTTAAGTATCTCTTAATATCGATTTTGAGCCTATTCAAATTGAATATTTATTGGCTACCAAACGTTCTTATAACAAATTCGGGTGAAAAGAGGAAATAAATAAATAAAAAATTTGCAATTCAAAAAAAAAAAAAGATAAAATTCCAAAAGTTTCCTTATCAAATCAATTTGCTCATCATTTTGTTGCTCTTGTATACATGTTTTTGTTTGTGTCCTAAAAAAATAATAATATCCTTAAGGAAAAAAAGAAAATTTTCTAACATCTTAAATTTTATACAGTTGGTTCTATTCTTGTTCTTCTTCTTCTTCTTTAACAAAATATTTTTAACAATCTACACTAATTTTTATACTTACCATTCCATTAATTTTTTTAAGTAATGAAAAAGAAAATTTTATATATGTATGTATAGTCACATTATTTTGATCTGTTAAAATTTACGGATCAAATGGCACAATTTAATATTTTCTTAGAACTTTAAAATTTAAAGTTTATTGCTATTTTTAAATTCATATATAGGTTTTGTATGAAATTTATGTATACATGTATAAGAGCATGTAAATAAAATCCAGTTAATTTCAAAAATAGTCGATGATATTTAAAAAGAATTTTGGGTTTAAAGTAGATTTTCCAAAAATTTTTAAATTAATACTAGATTTAAATTTTATAAAATAAATTTTCAAAATTAAAGTGAAATTATTTGTGGCACTCAAACATAATCCATTAATTTCATTATTTGTTTGTTTAGAATATTTAGGGCAGATTAAACAAAAAATTTCTATAGCATCGTCTTCTTATTGAGACAAACATTTTTCTCAGTATTTGGAATGATCCAAACAAGATTGCAAAAACAATTCCGAAAATTCATAATCAACTTAACCAAGTTCGGATTTTAAAGCATATCAAACGTTTTTCAAAGAATCCAAAATGTACAAGGCCATTTTCACCTGAATTTTCTAGAAAAATTATGATATATATTCCAAAAATTCAAAATAATAGAAAAAACTCACGCAATACAACCTGAAAACTGATAAATTTTCATTGGTTCAAATTGCTTCTGAAATAATCAATTGTCTTCTTATTTCGTTACAGAAACACAACAATGGATGATGATCTAGAATTAAATGTTAATGTAATGGAAGCTAAAGAATTGCTTGGACCAGCAAATATAGATTCATTTGATACTTTTGTTAGATTATATTTGGTTCCTGATGAAACTGGTGCTAGGCAAACTAAGGTAAATATTAATACTATAATTTTCGAATATAAAATTTTAAATTTATTTTTATTTAAACCATTTGCAATAATTAACTTTAAGGTAAACAAATTCCAAAACAATACCATTGTTCCAAAACACAACCTTTTTCACTTTTAATAATCTAAAAAAAAATTGACCTTTTTTGATTAATTAATAACAATATTTCAATTGATTTAGACATTAAATATGGTTTACTGGTATGTGTGGATATATTCCGATATATTGCAAATATATAAATATAGCAAGCAACATGACCTTCATTTTAATCTCCAATATCGATTCATTTTTAATTATTTATCCATACATGTATACGCACCCTCGTCTATATAGAGACCAAGCCCTTTCGGATGCCCCTTCCATTAATTTCTTAATTCTTTTTTAACAAAACTCTCAATACAAATACTTTATCAGATGAATTTTTGCAAATTTCCTGAGAAAAAATAAAGGGTGAAAGTGTAAAAAAATTTTTTGGTATTCTTTGTTTACGTTATGGTCAACTCACTCCTTCAGAATTAATTCCTTTAGTATTATTTTGGATCTTTTTTAATAAATGAAAATTTTTATTTCTGTTGTTTTTTTTTCTGGTACTCTTAGACAATTTGTAGTCATAATTAAGGTTGACTTATAATATTATATACATACATACAAATTGAATGTAATTATTCAAATGAAACCTTCATTGTATTGAATATTATCGAATGAATTTTTAATTAAAAAATAGTTGACAGGGGAAAGTCATATTAAGAAGAATATATTTAAGTATTAAAAAGTAAAAATAAGTTAAAAATTTATAGAGCTCCAGCTGATTAAGAGATTTAACACTTTTTGCTCATAATTTAAAAGCCTATTAGAACAAATTGTAATTATTTCTTGTGTCAGTATAGTTAAGGTAAAAAAATTGTAAGGAAATTTTGAATCCTACTTGAGTTAAATGTACGAATTAGTATGTTTCATTGTTTGTTCAAATAAATGATGTATAGTAGCTCTCCAAACCAGTACAGTAATTCTAATAAATCTATTTTCATCTATAAATAAATGTATAATTTTACGCTAAACACGAAAATGGGCATACCATAATAATCCAGTCGAAGTCTTTAATTAGTTACAAATTCTGTACCAAAGTTAATATAGACTTCATTAACGTACCTAACAAAATTTGACGTCATATTTTGCTATTGTTGACGTTAAATGAAGCGAATTTCTTTTATATTTCAAACTTCTTATAAAACTTTGATTTATACCCCCATTTATTATTTGCATCAGTTAGTGTTGTTTGCCAAAGTTATGCTAAACCTTTTTAATATTTATAATTAATTTAAAAGTATGTAATTTATAAAGAGAAGAAATTAATTTAAAAAGAACTGCACGAGTTATGTTAGCCAACTATATTAAACATCCTGACAGTCATTTACGTGCTTACGCATATTTCTTATGTTTTAAAATTTAATATTATTTATTTTGAATTTCCCAATTAATATCGAATTAGAAAAAAATTATTTATCAAAAAATTCTTAAAAAATTTATTAAATTTTAATAAAAATTTCTTGAGTATTATGATATTATACAATAACTCTTGTATTAATAAATTTCCATTTAACTTCAAACCCCTACTACTACTAAGTACCGCCGATTTTCTCCGAAAACATAATCAATCTTTTAATGTCGTTATTTGCCCTGGGTAGTCTACAAAAAAAAAGCATATTTTTAATATTAATATTTACAATAAATTTTTATTAAAAACAAATACTGACATTATTTTAATTACATATATATAAATATGTATATGTATATATATATAAATAAATTATAGAGAGAGAAAAATTTATAAATACAGAAGACAAAATATCAATTTTTCATAATACCATAAATAATTATGTGTACAACCAAATATACTTAATGAATATAATAAAAATTCTCATTTGTAATAATTACTCTTATTTACCCTCTTGAACAGCTGGATCCAAACCAAAACCATTTTTAATTACATCAATAAATGAAGTTATTAATATTGAGCCCACTATAATATGATTTAAAATTTCAGCAATTTTTTGTTGTTCTGGTTTTTGTAATTTAATACTGCCTTGAACCAAAAGTAAAATTCCAGTAAGAATCTAAAGTTTAAAATTATTTAATTTTTAAAAAAATTAAAATTTTAATTATGTATAGAAATATTGCACAATTTTTAAGTTATCTTTATATTGTATATGTATAAAAATAAATTAACAACAATGTGCCCAAAATTAACAATTAACATCTACAAAAACACTTATTAAAAATGCTTAAAAAATTTTTAAAAAACTCTATATTTTTCATAATTTTGCCATTAAAAAATTAATCTAACACGATTAGTCTTATGACATTTAAATTATTCAATTCAAACAACAAGTTTGTTTTGAGCATCGACAGTCACTTAATTTTATCATTTTTAAGTTTAACTTTCGGCCAATAAATTCAGATAAATTTTGAATTTTCCTACTATTAATTAAAGGACTCAAGTTCTAAAATTTTTACATAGAATGTAAATTTTTAAGAAATGTGGGAGTCTTTTACAATTTTTAATAATTTGATGTGCAAGCAAACGGACGCTAACAAATAAACTGCTATATATATTATGTAAACATGCTTGACTGCAAAAAAAATATTTAAAATTTAACTTTAAACAGCAATATTAAATAAACAATTTCATTTTCATAAGGGAGGAATTCGAAATTATATTAAATTTTTTTAAAAAGTAGGTTTACAGAGCTTAACATGTAGGTACATACATGTTAAAGTATATTATACATCAGTATACAAATTTATTTACAGTAACACTAAAAATTAAAAAAATTTAAAATTTTGCGAATTTTCCGAAAAGTTAAAGTTCAGTCATAATAAAAATTAATTCAGCTAACTTAACTGCTAATAAGTCTGAAATATAGCAAAGGTTAAACAGACATCTTTTGCCAATTGGACTAATTCAGTCACACAAATTTTATTGTTAACTAAATTTTACTTATTAAATTAACGTTAGATGGTAAACTTCAATCAATAACCTAAAAGTATGCAATATTCTTTAAAAGAATGAATTCAGTATTACATTTCTTTTATTTCCATTAAAAAACAATTAAATACTAATTATAGATTTTTATTTTAAATAAAATTATACCTCACAATTACATTAAACATTTAAAGAATATGTTTTTGGTGTTGTTTCTAACATAATGTTTCAAAAATTTTCGTATGGTTAGCATTTTCTGATGTCACAAAATACAATAATATTTCCATACTAAGTATATAAAACTTTATACAATTTGGAACTTATTAATTTTAGAATTTCCTTACAGCTAACCAATTGAGTTAAAAAATTTTACTTTTTCTTTGTATTCTTAAACAATTTTTTGTTCAACTTCAAATATTTAAATAAAATAAAGCTCTAATTGATTTGTAAATTACATGATTTAATACCAAATTAAATTTTTTTTTTACATTATTGCATATTGAATAGAAAATAAAGCAATTTTTTCATATCGAATTTGAATTATTTTTATAATAAATTTTACTAGTTTTAAAGTACATAATTTCGTAAAAAAAAAAATTAAATTGACTCCAATTTATTTATAATTATTTTCACAAATAGAAAAAAGAAACTTATAAATTATAAATCATAGTCTTAATCTTAAAGATCTGGTTTATTAACTAAAATCAATGGATGAGATGCATGTTCAATACCAAAACCAGAAATTATTACATTTACAACAGAAATTACAAAAACAAATATTAAAATAACATCATTTAATATAATTGATGCAGCTTGTTCCGCTTTTCGATTTATATTTAAACTCCCAATTATTACAAATAGAACTCCGACTAAAAGCTTTATTAATTCATTAAATATAAAAAAATATAGAAAAAAAATTAAATATTATTAATAATTTTTTTTTAATTGAGATTCAAAATAATTTAATTTTTAAGAATTATATTTATTTCATTATTTAAAAAAATATTTAATTTAAATTAATTTTATTTTAATTTTTAATAATCGGGATTTCTAGATGAATCGAAAGCGGATATAAAAATATTTATAGCAGTTGTAAAAAATGCCATAGCTGTTCTAACATGATTCCAAAATTCAGCTGAAATACGATATTTTTCAATATGTAAACGACAATCTCTCATTAATGTACATGATAAATTTAAAAGTCCAGATAAAACCTAATAATATAATACATATACATTAAAACAAATACAAAAATATAAAAATTCAAAATTAATTTCCAAAATATTATGCTACAAGTTTTGCAAATAAGATTAAAAGGCAGAAAATAAGAATAATGAATAAAATGAGGCTGCCCATAAATGAAATCCTAGTAAACTCTTCTATTTAAGCCCAATAATCTTAAAAGAATGCTTAAAATTCTAATAACGATTAGGCTTGTTTTTTTTGACCATATGATTTCAATCATAAAATTTCAAAACTTGGTAATTTTTTGACTTATTCATGTTTATTAATTCAAAGAGTAATGCAATTTTGTATAACAATTTTTAATTAATTTAAATAAAAAAAAATGCAATTTTAAAAAATTATTCATTTAAGTTTCCTGTATACGCATTAAATATGCTGCATAAATAAAATTTAAACATTTAACTACAAAAGTCAGTATATTTTTTATAATTAATACAGTTTCTTATTTATTAAGTAAATAATTAATTATTTTAATCTACATAGTATGAAAAACGGTTGAGTGCACCTTAATTAAAATCAAATCATTTTTACATTTTTGTGTATATATGTATTCAACCCATTTTCTTCTTAAATTTATGCGAATGTAGATTTTGCGAATGTAGGGTTTTTAATAATGAAAATTGAAAGCTTATAACTATTTGAAAAATAGGGGAAAAAAAGACGCTATAATACAATATATGCCTTCATAAATATTAATTTATTGTATTATATATATAGAATCTATATTGAAAATAAGCAAGTCTTTCTAAAGCAACTATAATTAATTTTTTTCACTTAAATATTTGTGAGGTGAACCTACTAATCAAATTACTATTGTTGTAAAACCACAAATTCATTATTATTCCATTATGCAGTTTCGGGTAGAATGTATACCCTTATAATTTTATAATATTTTATTACTTTATTTTAGAATGTTAGCTATAGAAAAAGGCTGGCAATTTCCCATTTAATATTTTAGTCGCGAATTGCAATTGTTTTCACATGCAGAATAATAGAATGTCAGTGATCTAGATTTAAAAATTGCAAACAGCTAATTAAATTTTAATCAAATATAATAAGCTAAAAATTTCTTCAAATTTATAACTAAATTACTACATTTAATTTATGCTATACATTAACAAGTCGTTCAAGATTTATCTTACTACCCTTGTCTTACTTATCATCTTTATCTAAATGTTTAACAATATGTGAAAATATTTTGCCAATATAAGTGAGCATACACACCTCTACTTATCTTAATTTCTTTAACATATTTTCTTATCTAACATAATATATGACAAGGTCGTTATATATACATCACAACAAAATTAATACAACTATATTTACAAGTACACATACATTCATTTATAGTATATTTACGTACGCCCACAATCTACTAAATGTGTTGTTTTATTTGATTTCATGTTTCATTTTTCAAGAATTCTAAATTTATTCTTTAAAAATTCTAATTATTTGACTTTTATGAAAAGAAAAGAAATTTTAGAAAATTTTTAGAAATTTATTTTTAGTGTTTTTTAAAATAAGAAAAAAGTTATAGTTCAACAATCTAACATATGTACGTAGGTTCCAGGTAAAATGTAATTTAAACTATAATGAAAACGACGTCAACTATATTTTAATTTAAATATAGAAAAAATAAGTGTAAGAAATATTAAATTTATTTTTAATTTCAATTTTATGAACTTATTAAATGTTTTGATTAGAATGTAAGAAGCTTTAAAAATTTTTAATATGATTGTCGTAAAAATTTCATTTAATTAAACTGCAGTTCCAGATTTTAAAAAGAGGATTCATAGTAAAATTTATCAAATATTGATTAAGAGGACTTTTTAGAACTTTTCAAACAAAAAAATTTGGAAAAACCTTCATTAGTTTAACTCTATCTGTCCGGTTGTCCGTTTATTACTTTACAAAATTTCTACACTCTTTGAGCTGAAATTTTTATAAACACATAGATCTTTAGTAAAAACATATTTCTGTAAAAGAAACTTTTTACTTTTGTCCACTTCTCTCAAAGTTATAGCCCCTCATAGTCCTAAAAGTGCCGTTTTATTACTAGTTATTGTAACGAAACCCTAAACATTTTTAAAAAACTCAGAAAGGTACCCACATGTTTTTCTTTCACGGCACAGCTCAATTGAACATTAAAAAGACAAAATGGGCGTTATTAATAATTTATTTTTTTAAAAGAAAAATTTCCACCTCTACCCCCTTCGAAGTTATCGCCGCTGAATTTCGTAAAATTTGAATTGCTCGCGCATAATATTTCCGAAGCTGCAAGCTTTCTAAAATTTTTGTAAAAGCGAAAAGTTAATGGTAAATGAGCTGTCATGAAAAAAATTTACTTAATTATTTAGCTTAATTAACCGTCTAATTCAACCCCAACGTAATAATAATGGTCACGCTTCTTTCAATTTATTTTTTCTTTGCTCATCCTAAATGTATGCAACAAATTAATCTACTTTGGTATATGAAAAAAATAACACAAATATTGCTAAAAAAAATTATACTGTAATTACAAGCAGTATCTTCACTTGTTTAAGAGAAAAGTGCTTCTTTAAGAATCATTGACTTGATTCAATTTTCTTAAAAATTCTTTTGCAAATACTACGAAAATAAAAAATCATTGTGTCACACACATTCAAAAAATAACATAGAATTCTATAGATACTTTCATTTCACAAATAATGCAATACAGAAGAGGGTGAATAATTTTTAAAATCAAGTTAAATACTGAATTTAATCAAAAAATCACACAAGATAAGAATGTAGACCAAGATTTTTGGGAGCTTATTTATTGCAAAATTCAAAGCCAATATTCAAATTTTTTTTTGAAATAAACTTAAACTTAAAAATTTTCAGTATTAACATAAACGTAATAAACGTTTTCAAAATAAACAAAAGAACTTATAAATAAAAAAAAGGTTTTGTATTCTTGCATTTTATCAAATAATATTGCTGATAAATAATTTCATTATTATAAAAAATTTCTCTTTCTATAAAGGAGCAAATATTGAACTTTTTGTTATTAAATTAAATAAAAAATAAAAACAAATGCAATTGATTTATAAAGATTAGATATGAAAAAAAAAAATAATAAATTACAATAATGAACACTTAAGATCTCTTTGTAAAACTTAAATAAATTTTATTCAATTATTTTAATAATTACTGATGAAGTACTTAAGAAAGTTTGTCATTGTGTAAATCATAATGTAAATGAAGGGTAAACAAAAGAAGCTCATAAGCTTCTCATTTTCATATACGTAAAAGGTTTTGCAATAAACGAGTGAAAGAAAAGTAAAATAAATCGAATGGAATTATTAAATTAATTTTTAGATTAATAATTTAAATAGGTAATTGTTTTATAATGAGTAATTCAGCACTTTGGTTTTCTAACAAAATCAAAATAACACGGTTATCGGGCATTAAATCTCTACGAATATTTAAGATTATTGACAAAGTCATTAATATTAGCTGAAGAACATTAAATTTCCCTTTTTTTGAATTATGAATTATGAGAGAATTATGACAAAAAAATTATAATTCTTCAAATTAAACTCTAAAAATCATATATACAGCAATCCTATTCTAATTAAATTTTCAAATTTATAAGGTTTATCTATATAATAAATGTTACCTTTAATATATTAAATGCCATATGGTAAAAATTAAAAATTGTCATTGATTTTATTGCAATATCAATAAATTAAAGGAAATTGAATTAACAATTTCTAATCAAAACTGCTTGGGTCACAATTAGTTTAATTTCAAATAATCCAGAATGTTTAAAATTTTAAAATCATTTTTAGAAATTTTTCAAAAATTAAACCAAAACTGAAACCGAATCATCAAAACCACAGTTTATTTTATAATTTCATGCTTATTGTTTAGAATGTTTGCTATCACCTTTTATTAATATAAAATTATTTTAACTTTAAGTGTATGAAATTCAAATTTATTTTAATTTTTTCAAATTTATATTTATTCACGGAATTTTTAACGATTCCTAATAAAGTTTTCATTAACAAAATTCGGAACTCCTTATTTTTATCTAATTTTTGATATTCGTTTCGCATTACAATGAATTATTTTGAATTTTAATATAAAACCGCAATTAAATTAAAAATTCATGAAAATTCACTTTTAATAAAATCGAGATACATGTATATGTAAAAACTACTTGAATAAAAATAAATATTTAATTTGCATCTCCAAACTCTAAAATTTCTACATTTAATTATTAATCTATATAATCCGCTTTCGATTTCATTTATAAGACAGCCTCACTTTACAAATTAAGTATTTACTAACGCATATTAAAATTATATGCTATACTAATGTATGTACGAATGATTAACTTACTTGTAAAATAATTGAAGTACTTATTAAACCCAACATTAGTTTATAAAAATCATGACGTTCACCAACTTGTAAAATATATTTTAATTGTGAAGCATTCGCTGTTAATAAGGCAATATCAAGCATTCCTTGAGCGATTGTCTTCTTTGTCGCATATCTATTAGCATCTATTGCCTTCATCTAAAATTTATAATAATATATTAAATAATTTTAATAATTTTCAGAATAAATTTATTAAGTATTTGATTCACCAGTAATAATAAAAACATTTTAGCACTTTTTTAAATTTTTTATACAAAAATATTCAAATATTTTTATTATAATTTTTCTTTATTTCCCGATTATCTTCTAATAATAAAACGAAACGCTTCTTAAAAGCTATAAATTTTCTTTAATAATATTCAACTTTGATTTATAAATTTATATATATTTTCATGACACTAACCCCTTCATTATTTTGCTCACCCGTACCAACACCATTCTCGGTATTATTGTTGTTGTTACCGTCGTCAACAACATCTTTAGCTTTTTTTCCACAACAATCCAACATTTTGATTTTTTTGTTTTTTCGTTATACAATTATTTTAATTCCAATTCTAAGCACGTTCGATAGTCAACTATTTTACAATTATTTAAATAAATAAAATTTAAAAAATTTTAGAAATGGAAACAAAAATATTGATAACTATTATCAATGATGTTATCATTGATTATTTCTTGTTTTTTTTTTTATCAAAAGTGGATTTTCTAAACAATAAATTAATATCAACGAACAAATTTACTGATATTTAACACAAAAGTTATTTGGTAATAAGAAATTATTTTCGAAAAATGTTTCATCGAGGATTTGAATTTAAATTTTTATAGAATAGAAGAAATCGATCAAACATTGCAATTTTATTGTTCGTTTCTATAACAATATACTCTTCTGTACTGTGATTTATATTAGATTGAAATCAAAATAGAAAACAAAGCAGAAAACAATTTTTTAAAAGGTTGCAAAAAGTTCTATAAATATGCATTAAACTCTAACATCAATAGTACACAGTAATATAGTATCATTGTATATTTCAGCTGGATGTGATGCTGCAGTGAGTATACTTCAATGTCAGATACAAAATTTTATTCATACAATACCAATGGGTTAGAATAGCTCAATTGTGTTCTAATACAGTATTAACGCAGCCATTTATCACATTTCATAATGAACACTGTGGTCATTCCTTTCTAAAATTTGATTTAAATTAAATCATTAAACCCGTCAACAATAAAAAACAATAAGGAAAAAGATTGTGTCTTAAAACCATGTTACATACATCTTATATTCAAAACAATATTTGCTACCACTATAAATCAACTTTCTTTATACCGTTGTATACTATTTAATACATAATAAATATGTATATGTACATAATATTTTACTCATTAAATTTATGTATCTTATCTTTTTTTAGATTAATGTTTTATACTATTATCAATCATTTATATTACTTTGATTCTTCTGCAAGAGGAAATAATATAATTTAAGTTAACAGAGGTTGTTAAACTTTCAAAACATGTACAAATATATACATAATTAATTTAATAATTATGTATATATTCAATATTAATTTTTCACCAAATATTAGTTTTCTGCTTAAATTCACGTAAAATTTAGGAATTTTATCAATTTAAATCATTGTTACATTATGGACAATAAATAATTTGCTACTTTAAATATTTAAAAATGTCTAAATATAGCAAATATAGCAAAATATAGCAAAAAAAATCAGAATAGAAGATTTAAAAGAATAAAGTTGGGTCAAACCAATGCTTTGCAACTCACCACATTTCCCTTCAATAAGTGAAAACAGTTTTCTTAAAAACAATTAAAATGACTTTCATCCATATGTAAATATACTGCAAAGATTGTACACATTTAGGATGATCACTGAATGCAATCTTCAAAATAAAACAAAACAAAATTTAAAGAAACTTTAACATAATACTCAAATTTATTTGTGTGAGTTAAGAAATATAATTATATTTTTTAATGGCATGGCAGTTACCGTTAGCATTCTACATTTATAGAAATTTGGAAAAGTTTACAATTTCGAAAATTTTACAAATTTCTATAGGCGATAACTTATAATAAGAGAGAATGGAGGTGGAGAAAAATAAGTGTCTTAAAGCTATTAAAATTTCACACTCCCACAAGCTCAGGTCTAGAAGAAAAGCGATATAAAAAATTTGTAAAAAACGGATTTTAGACAACGGCCATTTTGTTTTTTTAAAGTTAAAATATGGTATTCCGTGGTAGAAGAAGTCAGCCGCTACTTTTCTGCACTTACAGAATTTAAAAAATATTTGTGGTTTCTTTGCAAAAAATAGTCAAAAGATGGCACTATTACGGTTTTAAACGGCTATATCTCTTAGAGGCGGAGAGATAGAAAATTTTTTTATACGGAAAAAAGTTTCTAATAAAGCTATCTACATATATAATTTCATCTTTCTAGTTGTATCTTCAACTGTGTAGAAGACAGAGGAAAACTAAGTAATTATTTTTTTTATTTTTTTGGAAAAGTGCCAGAAATACCTGCCGCCTAATAATATACAATTGCATGCTTGTCGCTACTAAATACTATAACGAATTTTAAAATATTATATAACTACTCACTATGACTTTATATGAACTAAAACAAAAAATCTCAAACCCATAGCTCATTTTCAATTTTCGTAAATTTTTAAATTTGAGCAAAAGATTGCATATAATTGTATAATTTCCTTATATTAAAGAATTCTGAAAACACAAATAGAAAAATTAAAATTTTATTAAAATTCAATTTAACTTTTTCATCTCCTCTCATGTTCATCTACATACTTATATAATTCGTACTCATATATTTAAATAATTTTTTTTTAATTAAAAATTAAGAACTTAAACCATAACATTCTACTTATTTAACATATTGCATTTTTAAAAGGCTTTTTAATTGTTTTATTATAAATGTAGCAAAAAAAAAAAAAACAGGAAGAGGTTTAACTTTAAATATTTTATGCATAAAATTGTTGAAATCTCATTAATATAATTATTTTTTTAGCGGTTATATTCATTAACACCGCTAATTACTTTTCATTAATTTTTAAAACATTTTTCATATGTCTATAACATCATCATTTAAAATTATCGTTCCAGCACTATACTTGTAATAAAATTATTATAATCCTCCTTTTATTCATATTTGAATATTAAAACTATGTGCAGTACACACATATATATGTAAGTAGTACATAAAAATAGTATAACGTACATATTTCAATATATACACATTACATACATGAGTTTATATGAATATTCATATTATTTACATAATATTTTTCGAAAAATTACTATTATCCTTTAGTTTTTCTTATATGATACTTATTCCTTCTGCTTCAAATGATTTACATTTTCCCGAACTTTCTTAGCTTTTAAATTAAATTAACGTAGAAGTATGTATAGATATACATGATACATGTATAACGATTTTTGTATACATATTATAAATTATTATATATTAACAATAATAATTTCTATACGGAATGTAGATATATATATATATACGAAATATGTAAATTTTTACCAACTCATGCTGTACGTTATGTTAATAACCGATGAATAATAATTTTATATCCTTATACATTCAAACATGATACATATTTCCACTTTTCTTATACACTACTTATTTTAGTTAAAGATTAAATACAATTTGTTATTTTTTTTTCCTTTTCCATTTTCCATTTCAATTCCTTTTGATATAACCTCAACAAAAAAGAAAACGAAAAAGAAAAAGTCAGGTTATACCTTTTTTACCTTAATCTTATTGAATTAAATACGGAAAATTTTGTTTTCCTGGTGTTTTACAACAGAAAACCAAACAAAATAAGAAAAAAACCAAATCTTTTAAAAAATATTGACTTCCCTCTGAGGGTTAAGAAGAAAGCTAATAGAAAAAAAAAATTCATGGTATACTCATAAGCAAGCATGTGTGTGTTTCTTATACACAAAATATTGTAACACTTACATTAAATACATACATTTATGCTTATAACATTTGAAAAAAAATTTAATAAGTTTGAAAATAATTTAAGATAAAACTACATTTAAGCTTAAGGATATGAAATTTCTATTAAACATAGTTAATATTTAACTATAAGGCACATAAATTTTCGGTAAACAGTTGAATGTCTGTAGTATGAGTAAAATTATAAAATAGAAAAATGAATTATGATAGTAATCTTATATTATGAGATCTCTACCCTTATCCATGTAAATATACTGCCGTAAAAATTAAAACAGTTTTGATATTAGGTGAATAAACTTAAAATTTATGTTTGGTAGAATTAATTTTGGATGTACTTTATTATTTAAAAAAAAATACGATATCTTATTCTTTATCTATACTGTATGTTTAATTAGTTATAGCATATATATTTAAAATAGCGAATCTCTTACAAAACAAATTTTAAAAAATTTACTACATGCGATCTGAGATATTAGGGCTGAAGAGTATAAAGAAAATCAATACATTCATAAACACTTAAACTATATAGAGCAATTAAGTTTTGAATTCTCAATTAAATCTTCATTTTAATCCAAAAAGCGTAGCGATGCTATAATATTATTCTCACATATTGAGAATTTAACAATTAATCACCACATGTTTCATCTCACATGTTTCTCTTAGTCATGTCGTATTGTCATGATATTGACTAAAAATAGTTTCATCTTGTACTCATGCCAACACAGACAATAAAATGTTTAAATTTTTATATATTTGATTTTTCATAATAATGTGTATAGTATAGATTGTAGATAATATAATATAAATTGTGATTAATTTGCACATTTGGTTGAAATTCAATGTATAAAATTTAATTATTGTAAATTTCTGCAAATTTGAAATGTAACTTCAATATAATATTGAAGCCTTCAATACGTAATTCAAAATTTTTTAAGTAACATAAATTATGCCCATAATTCATATTAACCCCATTTAATAGGCTCGAAAATATAAAGGCTAAAGTATGGGTATCAAGAAATGATAGAACAATAAAATGAGAAATAAGAGCAATTTTAAAATAGTTAATACCAAACCAATATTACAAAAGTATATATAAAATATTTTAAAACACGTGCAAAAATTTCACAATTAAAATATTGTCAAGGTCATAAAAATTAGATGATGAGCATAGTAATTTTAAAATACAATTATACATTTACATGCACATATAATACATTCATAAGTATTTAAAAAAAATAATTACGTTCCACTTAATGGTGGTCTTTTTAATATACTTAAGACTTGTAGGCGCAGGATTCTTGCTTACATAAAAAATTTAAAAAGTATTCGTGTCCTTTTAAATATTTAAAAAATATTGATAATTTTTTTTTTTTAACTTTTTATTCTTCGTGTACGATTTATTCTTCATATATAAGAATATACTTCTTTATATATGTATGTATGTTATATGTATAAGTCAAGAAATGAATTGTTTGGTACGCTTATAGCATTATTACTCAAATTAGAAAAATACAACTTCGTTTCAATTCAAATGTGTAATAATTCCAGCCCACAAAAAAATCAAAAAACATCTCTGCAAAAATTATGAGTTAATTATTTGCAAATAACGTATAACATGTTTTGATTAAGTCACTAATATTTCCTTCTCCAATATTTGAAAGCAACTTAATCACACATTTAATGTGTTGCAAAAGTCTTTATTATTGAAAATTTTAAATTTCAACTCAATCGCAAATTTAAGAGCAGTGAGGAAGTTTTAATATTAAAATTGATATGTTTTGTGATATAAACCACTATACTGGCATATTCACATACATACATAAAGCATAATTCACAAAACAACTTACAATACATATATTACTCGCATTTCATTTATAAAGCTGGTTGAGACAAGACATAAATTAAATCTTCTTTCAGTTAAAAATTGCATTGTATGATTTAAAATTTTAATTAAAACTATTGGCACTCTCATATTTTGTGGTACTCCATTTAATAATAAAATATTTGTAATTTAAAATAATATAATTGTAATTAATACTTCAGTAATCACATAAGAAACATAAAAATTTTAGATGAAGTGGGTTTTATATTAATGAAGCTATAAATTATCACCATCAAAAACCTTTTTTTTTTCTTTTACTATTTTAATTGTTACAGAAGTTTAATAACCCCTTTGTACATGTATGAATTTGAATAAAAGGTTAGTGAACGAAAGCAAACATATTTATTATACTTCATCATGCAAATTGTGTAAAGAAAATCCAAATGGGTATAGTTAGTTATAAAATCTTTTAAAACAAATCTCATTATTTTATTATGGCTACCTATTATAGCCATATTGTAACTATTATTGTGAATGTATATTAAAATACTACAGATCTTATTTTAAATACGATAAATATTTTTTATTAACAAACCCCACAATAATGACTTACAGAAATGGAAAAATTAAATACCAAAAAATTTAACATGATTACAAAAATTATTCTCGCTTTAAAAGTTTTTCATATCAACATGAATTTGAATATTTTCTTGTGCATTTTTGACGTACCAAAAAATATTTCGTTACTATTACACCACTGCATTAAAGCTATACAAAAGTTTTCTTCAACAAAATATTAGTATTGTAATCATTCAACCAAAATTCATGACAATATGCTTCGGTTCTCATGTTTTTAAATTAAATATTATACTGTATTATTAAAGATATATAAAATATCATAAGCATTTTCAGCCTATATACGAGTACACATTTAATTAATTTTAATTAAATTTTAATTAAGCGGAATCCACTTAGAAAAAATGTACACAGTTTTTCACTGTTTGTTAGAGGAGTGTTTAGCTAAAATTTTTAAATTTTCATCTAAATTTTTAAGCATAGCTTCATTCATTCTAATTTTATTTGTATTATTATATTTTTTCTTAAATGTTTTTAATTATTTTGCTATAGTAAATAAATTAAACAATTGATTAAAAATCAAAAGAGCAAAAAAATACATTTTGTATATACCTCAGTCTGACTCCCAGCTATTTGATTAATTCCATTTAAAACGGCTGCCATTGTTCCAAATAACTCTTTAAAAATATAGGTTACCGTTTATGTACAATATAATTCTTTGTCTTCAATTATTTTTTTTTAAATTTTAGAATTTCATTAAAATCATTAGTAATATTTGAAAAAAAAAATTATACTTTTTATTGTTATTTATAAAATTCCATTACAGTTCTAGTCTTTATTCCAATTAAAATTATAATGACCAAAAAAAAATTACATAAAAATCTTAGCAACGGTTGCTATTTTAGTTATTCATTAAATTTTAGTATAATACAAATGAAGTAATCGACCAAACAACTCAAAACAAACTAAAATAAAAGCTTTATGAAATTTTTTCAAAATACATAAATATGCTTATAGTACTCGTATGTAGTACACTTTGAATTGTTTACTAAATTTGTAGTTTTGTAGTTCAGACATTGTAGTAGCAAGCGTTTTTTTAACTGTACAGTTACTCAATGCGAATATAACGAAAAATATGATTAAACGGAAATTAATTTATTATTATTATTTTGTTTTTTTTCTTCTTCTTCTTTTGTACGTTTCTTTTAATAAGTACAAAACAAATTTTTTAACCTGTATTAATAAAATTTATACTAAAAATAATGAAACGTTATATACTTGAGCATATCCGAACTAGTTATACTTCATTGCTACTACAAAATAAAAGTGTAACTGCAATATACAAAGTATAAAAAAATAAATAAAAATAATTATTTTATTATAAATGAAAACAAAAGTTAATGGCAACAAACTATAGCAACATGGAAGACATTGTTTTTATGTTTTTATATTCCTCACGAATTTGTGGAGTGTAACCGGTTTACCACTCTGTTTATAATTCTAAAAAATTTTTTCTAATACACTGCCATAATAGTAAAGAACTGCCGCCAGAAGAATTAATAGATCCGTATTTTTAGAAAAGCAGTGTTTTTAAACATCCAGAATTAGATTACCAGCTTTTTAAATGGTTAAAAGTATGTAAAATTTTCTAAATATATTCTGCGATAGAGTTATTGAAAATTCAAACATAGCCTGATAATAATTTATATTCTGCTCACTAGTACAAATAACTATCACACAATTTCGAATACGAATTAATATCTCCGAAAGAATTGCAAGTAATTTTATAATTCACTGAAAGTATTTGAAGCGCAAAACACTCCAATATGCACACGAATTAGCAGTTTTTGTTTCCTACTAATCATTCAATTCGTCCATACGTCCATACAGGTATATCTTACAGTTGAGATGGTCAACTTTATCGTTCTTTAATTTTTTTTCATGCTTTATGCTCAGTGTTCCCACTCGGTAAAAACAAAATGTATCCAATTTCGAGAAAAAAGTGTATCCAAAATGTATCCAACCTCTTAAAATAGCATTATTATAATAAGTCGTCGTATTTTGTACAAATTAACCCATAATTAATAATTTGCTTTATTCCACAATATGAGTTTTGTTACTTACAGTAAATTCTTTAAGAAATCACATGCAAGTTCCATTACATTTTAAATAAAGTCAGAAAATACATATGTATAAGTTCTGCAGTTGTTAAACTATGCGGTAAAGATGATTCACCATGAAAACGGACAAATTTTAAAAAACATGTACATCCAATGCATTTTCTATTACACCTAGCTTACACTAAAATATTTCTTGTACGTTCTGGAAAAGCCAGCAAATAACATTTATGGAAGATAAAGCAACTTCGCGATTTAATATTAGCAGCATTTTAACTGTTTTGTATATCACTAACCACTATATTTAGTGGTTGAAAAAAAATGTATCCATATTTCAGCAAAATTTTAAAATGTAGCCAATTTCGGCATTTTAGCAGATTTGAGTATCTTTGTATCCAAACTCAAATTTAAAGCAAAAATGTATCCAAATGGATACAATTGTATCCAAGTGGGAACGCTGTTTATGCTTTTTGTTTTCGATATCATGAAGATATTTAAAAAAAAAAATGGATTTCCTAGTTCAACTAAATTGAATTATTACTAAATCAGCTAAAAGTTTGAGAATTTAAAAAGGATAGAAAGAGAAAGAAAGATTGCAATACTTACAGCTTTTGTTTTACTTTTCTATTTACATTAACTAAAAACTGAAGAAAAAATTTTATTTTCTTGAAAACAAAGCACTAATATCAAATTGCACAAACTTACAATAGAGTGACCAGATTATAATCAGATCTTTTTTATCGAAAAATCTAGATAACACTTACACCTATTTAATTACTGTTTAAACCGTATATAGAGATAAAGTTGTTTATATTTGATTATTGAATATGCAATAAAAATGTTAAGATTTAGAAATTGACATTAACAGTGCAATTTTATCAATTGTACTTAACACTTTTAATCTTAACTGGAGAGTGAAAAATTAAAGTATAGACGTGTAAGACTCACCATTCATAATATGTGCTTTAAATGTATAAATATTTTAATTAAAACAAATTTTTATATCAATTACATGAATAATTACATTTGTTTACATTAAAATGTCCTGCATTTGCCGTTCGCCTCTAGCACAATCAATTGAAACATTTATAGAAAGGAAAATTCCTCAACTTTTTTATAATAACTTGTCTGTTTTAATACATTAAAAGGAGCTTAGTATGAAAATAATAAAAATTTTTAAATACGTACATACATGTATATCTAATGTATACATTTTATAGGTTTTGTTGTATTATTATATTAGATAATTTTATACGAATTAAGAAAATTCTCTTAAAAAATCAGGAAACATCTGGTATTCTGCTTTGGAACAAATGTATTGTAAAACAAAACTCCCGATGTTAGCAAGAGTTTCAATCACTTAATGCCCATTGCAAATGAAAAGTACAGCTTGGGAATAATTACAAATTTAATATATGATACATATACGAGTACACATTTTAATTGAACAATTCTTTTAATTTTATATTTAAACAATATAATCAATGAATAATTTAAAAAAATTAATTTTATTTCAAGGATATAATATGAAAGGTCATGGTTGACTGGTTTTGAAACTATAAATTGAATAAATTTTCATCTAAAGATTAATACATGACAGATTAGCAGCTGCGTTTGTAATATAAGAAAATCGATTTTCGGCTCAAACATTTTGCCTCTCCCTTTATTTTGTTTAGTTCTTAAGAATCTGTATGTTTACTCACGTTTACAATTTCCAACCATCGAAATATGAATAAATAGCACAATGAATTGATAAATAAAATATTATCATTTGAACCATACTATCCCGTTTTATCTAAACGACGTGAATATAATGTCAGTATTTAATTTTAAGTTAACATAACGTCAGACAAATTTTAATCTGGAGAACTTGACTAGTTTCATATCATATCAAATATATTTTTTAAATATAATTATTTTAAATTTTTAATTTACTCAACGGCAACTGGATTTACTTCTTTTTTACAATATTGCCATAACTTAGTCACAATCTCCAAACTTATACATATTTACAATACATAATAAAAAAATTTTCATTTTTTGATTCATTAGCCTTTCTTCTAAATTGATACAATTTGCAATTCCGACTCAAATTTAAAAATAAACAACCATTAAAATGCAAGACTTAAATGCAAAAACCATTAGGCTTTCAATATAAATAGAGCATTTGGCATAAAGATTTTAAATTAATAGTACTAAACAAAGTGCTACACAGTCAATTTCAAATAAAATCTTGAATATTAAGTTAACATTTAACACTAAAACTTCTTTTTTATAATTACTGTTCCACTATACTAACTACTAATTATCAACTACTAACTATACTGACCTCACTCGTATTTTCTGCCATATTTTAAATACTTTTATTATTTTACTAATTACACTATTCGTTAATATCAAAAACTTTTATTCTTATTAGAATAAATAATTTGAGTATTCTTAAAGAACATCCAATATTCAAGAAGATTTTACATCCGATCACAAAATTCGTTTATACAATCGCAACTTTTCGATTAAGTATCAAATTCAAACTGATTGAATTATTCTTTAAAATCATTTTCCAGTTCATTTCAACAATAATTAGTCACTCATTTAAAACTTGCCAATTGTCATTAACCCTTTTAAAACTTAAATCAATAATTAACAATTTTTGGCTACTAATTGACTAGAATTAAATCCCAAAATATTAATTTTTAATTTTCACAGTTCTTAAATTTACAATCGCAAATCAAATTTAATTAATTGGTATAACAAGTTCAGAGAGCAATATTTATGAGCTTTTGAATTCGAAGAGAAATATTAAATTTAATTTTGGTCAAAAGCGATATTTGAAAACTAATTTTGTGAGTCACATGTTTTAGAAATAAAACTAAACCGCTACTTGTTATAAAAAGCAAGTACAAAATGCATAACACCGGTAGATATTATATCTAAAAATTATAACAAAATTTTTGGTGAAAATTTTAACTAAAATTTTTTAATGTTACGTAGTATAGAATGGGTTAAATGAAAAAAAATAAAAATTACTTGTTTAGCAACATAATAATTGGCCATTGGGTCAAATTTATAAGCTACAGTTTTATATTGTACTAGTAATATAAATTTAAATTGAAAAGTTGAACTTAAATTTGTGATCTTTTTATTTATTAATGGTCTGTTATATCATTTTGATAGTAAAAAAGAAAATAAGAATTAAAGCCATGATTAGATGATTTTTATGACGAACACTTTAAGATGTGATGATTCAGACGAATTATTTATTAAACAAGAATTCTAAATCATAAATTAAAGTAAATGAATGTAGAAACAAGCCAGCTGTCTGGTACTCGTATACTCGTAAAATTACTTGAAACGAATAGATGATAGAGTAGATTTTTTAGAGAGTTTTTAGAGAGGATTTTTTCGACTTCGAAATTTAGTTTTTAGATCGCCATTATTTTTTAGTATTACAACAATTAGCGAAAACAAACTAGTTTTCTTGCACATTTTAGGTTATCACTTAATTAAATTTTGTGTTATATAGCTCTTTATATAATAGTGTTATATACGAGTTCTGCTTAAGGAAAGGTTAGGAAGGTTCAAACATATATTTTGTAAAAATTTTAATATATAAAATTTTTGTAAATATTTTATATGGAATCTAAATCTATACATTCTGTACATTGCATATTGTTTAAACGTGCATGGAAACTTATCCAAATATAAGTGGCCTTTATTGACATACATGAATACCTTTGTCTGACATGATTAACTTGATCCATTTCAATAACCCTACATTTACAAAGAGCACAGATTTCTAATATACACATATTAACCTCGAAAAATAAAAAAAAAATTATGTTCATTCACTCAAAGCAAGGACATAAAATTCTCTTGTTTTTTTTTGTCTTTGTAAAAAAATCAACAGAAAAGTTACAGTAAATTTTTTCCTAAAGCTGCGATAAATAAATCTAAAAAAAAAAACGAAAATCTCTTACAAAAATAAGTTAAAACAATGTTGGATACAAAAACCTTAGAAGTAAACATGAATCGAAACTGAACCCTTTTTGTTACAGAAAGGAAATAAAATTTTTACAAAGGATAAAAACAAAAAAAAAAGCTACTTTTTTCCATGTTATCTTTAAAGTATAGAATAAATTAATTTTATATTAAAAGTGAAAGAAAATTCTAAAAGAAAATCTCTAAGGAAAAATGTAATTTTCGGTTTTTAAAAAAATTTATTTTTTAATGAAAAAATTCAAACAAATAGGTAGGTAAGTAAGTAATTAGAACGATGAAGTTTTCAAAGGTTCGAAGAAAAATTAGAAAATTTAAAATTTGAAATTGTAAACTACTCGAATTTTTCTCTTGTCTTCAAACTTATTCAACAATGTTAAATATTTACTTTGTCTTCATCATAGAAGTGGTGAAAAAAAAAAACAAATGAGAAAGTCTTTCTCGCTTCGAGTTGAGAACACTGAAATGGAAATGAGTATAATAAATTACTCATTTTCATTACAGCGTTTACCAAGTACTAACTACTGAGTGAATAAATAAAAATCTACGAACTAATAGTACTCAAATCTTATCGCCTTTTGATATGTCGATAAGTCTTGCCGGCTAACAAACCGTTTATAGTAAGATTTAATCCTAATAACGTTTTAAGAATTCTAAGCATTCCGTAATTTGTTTTGTATTCTTTACATGTTGAACTGCCCCAGAATAATAAGTTGAAATAAGTAACAAGTTTCAGTATATTTAAACAATTTTCTATTTTAGGTCACCGAAATCGTAACCTTTACTAGTTGACCGTTTGCACTAGAATAAGAGTCAATGGATCCTGGTCTACAATCCTTTCACAATTCAATGAAAATAAAATTTGTAAACGTTGTTTACAAAATACAAAACATGGTCTGATCCTGGTCACACCAGATTTTTTTGAAAAACGTACATATATACAAATAAATAATTATTTCAATCTTTTCCTAATTTACTAATTAGGGAAAGATACTAATTTAAATTCTACTAATTTAAATTCTATTTAATTTAAATCATACACAACACTTGTTGATCTTAAATTACCTGATAATCTGAATTAGTAACAACCCATCTCTAACAACATTTTAAAAAGTATGACAATAAAAATAATATCAATCCACTTTAATTATATAAAATCAAGGGTAATTATTCAGTTATGATCCGAGTTATAAGCAAATTAAGAAGGCGTTATAATCTTCATAACATTCAACTTATAAGTTTATTGTTATATTGATTCAAAATCTTATATGGAAGGATTATTTCTATATAAAATTTATATTATAATAATAACCTTGAAGAACAAATCTCAAGGTATATTTTTATTGTGTTGAGAATTCCCAATTAATCAAGGATACACATTAATTACAGAAGGATAACAAAAAAAAAATAAAATTTTCTTTTTTCCAATGATTCCTTGCCTTTTTGTTTTAATTTTTTTTAATCCTTTAATGAACTTTCTTTTACATTATAATTATTTTATATAGAATATTTATACATACATATATACAAATCTTTCAGCTTTTCAAGAATTCAACATCACCAAGTTACAATGAAACATTCACATTTTGCCTGGATAAAAATAAAGGACGTCGTTCTTTATGGTTTCATTTATACCACAGTGGGAATTCTCATACTCTAATAGGTAAGTATACCAAATAAAAAATAAAATAAATAAAAAGAATAAAATAGCGAAAAATTAAAATAATAAAAAAAAAAGGAATATTTTCTTTTCTTACTTGAAAATTATAGAAAATTCAAGCTGCCATTTTACAGTTGAAATTATAAAGCATAAAATTTTAAGATTGACAACAATGAAACAAATAAGAATGGATATTTTTAGGACAATATGAAATACGGATTTATTAAATAGTAACTTTTAAAAAGGACATTACTTAAGAAAAGATAAGAAAAATCTTCAATCTAATGGATGATTTCTTAATCAGTTTACTTTTTAACTGAACAAAACAAAGGAAAATTGCAAGTTTACTTGAAATTTTTATTTTGGAATCTATGTTTGCCATTTTGTTTTTAAGTAGTTATAATGTTATGCAAGAATTAATCATGACAATATGTTTAGGGTGGTCAGGCCTAAAGATGAAATTTTAAGTCATTTTTCACATTTTGACTTAAATATCTACATACGTTTAATATTGTTTTCTAGAGGGGTACAGAACGGCCGACATTTACAAGAAATTCAAATAATTAATACGAAGAAACGAAAAAATCTTAATACTGAGCTTAGAATAATTTCAAAGAGAATTTTCAGTATTTATTATTATAAGCAATTTTAAGAAAGATACAGGTTGCGTAGACTTACGACGGCCGTATATACTGATGAAAAATATTAACTTTTAATAATTTTTCTGATATGATTTAAATATTTTGGAAATTTTATGGAGTTTAAAGTTCAGATAAGAATGTATTTAAAATCAGATGAGCATGTTATTAGGCCTATTTATGCGAAATTGCAATATTAAAATTAATTTTCAAAATTAAAATTGTACAGAAACTACAACTGCAAGACTCTGAACCCCCCCCCCCCCCCCCCCCCCTCTTCAATATGCCATATACTTTCATTTTAACGAAGTATTATTACTATAAATCTTAAAACTTTTTTAGATTATGGTCAAATAATCTTTAAAATTGTATGACAGCTACTCTACCGATTGTCTTTGTCCAATTTCAATTAAATAGAGTTCTGGCATATACGGAAGATTTTTTTGAACATTACAAATTAATAGATATATTTGTAATATCTTATGAATGTAGCTCTTAAGTGTATAATAAACGGGATATATAATGATAAATTATTATAGCTACACTAATCTACATTATGCTAAGAGAATTAAGACTCCATTTCCCTCGTCAATTCATAATAATTAAAATAAATATTCAGGCACTTTCCAGTTTAAATTTGAATGGGGCAGAGGATAAATTTTTGAATTTAATAAATTATTGTACAGTGTGTTAATCAGCTCCTTTCAAAATAAATTTAAATTCAATTAATTAAAATTTAAATTTTTAATAATTTCAAATACGTTTTCTAATTTCAATTACGTTCTCTAAAAAGTTTCAGTTTTCTAAGAATAATTAACCTACAATTTTTTCAAACTAATTTGCTTCTTATTCTACAATTTTATATTCTTTAGGAGAAACTGAATTGCAAATTGCTGATGTTTCATCACCAAGACCATATACAACTTGGCTATCATTATGTGATTCACGTAATTTAAATCCAAAATGGGGTGAATTAATGTTTTCACTCAGTTATTTACCAACTGCAGAACGTTTAACAATTGTTGTTGTTAAAGGAAGAAATTTTCAATTTGAACAAAATATTAATGAATTGGAATCTCAAAATATTTTTGTTAAGGTAATTATAAAAAAATCAAATTTAAAATCATTTTTTTTTTTAATTTTAAATAAGATTTAAAAATATTTTGAATTCAGTAATATTGTCTATTGATAATTAATTAAAAAAATATTCAAGGACAATAATAAAATGCAAGATACCAACTTCAAAAAAATTCAAAAATAATAAAAAACTAGAAGATATTCAATGTCAATAACAATCATCAGAAATTCTGTACATAAGTACGAGAGTGTAAAACAAAAAATATATACACACATAGTTATAAGGAAATGAAATTTCAAGAGTTTTTTTTTTGTTAAGTGAAAAATAAAAGAACGAAAACTCTGTTATTGTATGATAAAAACAAAACCCGTATACTAACCATATTTAATGCAAATTATTAAAATACCAAATCTATGCATTCAATTTCTTCATTTATTATTATTATTATTATACGAGTAATCTACATACATAGTTTATATTTTTAAAAGGGAGTGGATTATCCTTGGCATACAAACATATAATGCATGTGTATGCGCATAAAAGTACATATGAAAAATTTTTTCATAAGCTTCGCATAGATTAATCTCATATCCGTAAATTTTATTCAACTGAAAATTTATTTCGATTCATATAAAATATTTATATTAATAATGGGGTTGCCATCATTTTCCAAACACAAAGTTAAAAATAAATTATATAAAAAAATTGATACATATGATGTAATATGAATATAAGCATACAAAATATTTTTAATAGATACGCGAGAACAAAATATATTTTTAGTTAACATTGAGTTCTGAAATACAAATAAGGCATTAAATTAATTAAATTTAGAAAATTTATATTCAAGTTGTATTCAGGCTATACTAAATCGGATTCAGTGACATTTTTCAATGCAATGAAACTAAAGGTCCAGGAAAATTAGCATGATATTAAGTATATAAAATTTAGTAAGGATATGGTAACACTGAATGAAAAATGCCTCAAAACAATATTATTGTGTGCATATGTAAGCAAAAATTTGTAAAGAATCTTTTCATTTTCATAATCAGCAATATAATATTTGCATTCATACAAGTAATTGTAAAAATATAATCGCGTTTATTCAAACAAAAATAATTTTAATTTTAATTTTACAGTTTTTGAAATTGAAATAAAAGGCTATAATATGGCATATGCATTCACAACGTTTACTACATACATCATTTCGTAATTATATATTTTGTAGGGAAATTAATATTTTAAATGAAAATGTTAATTTTATAGAGAGAAATTTATTTTATGATGTAAAGAATTAAGTTTGTTTCCAGTCTATTGGAATTGTTACTATTTTACCATCGATTTTACCATGACAAGAATTTGTGTTTTAAAGTAGGAAAATTTTTTTTTTTGAAATTCAATAAATTTAATTGGAAATCTTCTTTGAATATAAAGAATTTTCGCTGTTATTTTTGCGATTAATAACAATTTTATTTTTATGACCTCAATACCGTTAAATATAATTTATTATTAACACTATGAATACATTTGCACAGAACATTCTAATCATTTATTGGAAACTACAAATGGAGTCAGAGCCCTCTAAAACTTTTATATACTAAATATACTATTTTAACTTGATCGATGAGCCATTTTTGATTCCACCAGCTCATTTCTCTATACATATTTCTTTATTAATTGAGTAAAAATAGAAATCTCATGATAAAAATTTTAAATTTTCTTTCAAATCACGTTTTTCCATGCAAAATATTTTATAAAAACTATAATCCATTGATTAAATATAAATAAAATGAATGCATTTCTCTTGCAACACTCAAAGATCCTTGAATTTTCTTTGTTTAACAAAATTTCTTTTTATATATGAAAGATTCTAGGATTCAAGTAAAACACATAAAGGAAAGTAAACCATTTACATTATTTTGTTTCTTGGATTTCTGTGGTAGAAAAAAATATTAAATAATTTTATTCTGCGCATAAAAAATATATTAAATTTTATTAAATATGCTAGCAGTAAAGTAAAAAAGAAAATTGTTTGTAGAAGCAAACAGTGATTGAAGACCCTTTGTTAAAGAAATATTTTCTATAAAAAAAGAAAGTTCGCGAACGTTCTGCGTTATTCTAATATTCAAAAGAATAACGCCCTATTCTTCTATTTTTATAGAATAATCTAATATTCTAAGAATATTAGAGTATTCTATAGAATTTTTAACTTTTTAAGCCTCATCTAAACTCAATACAAAAAAGGAATATGACTATTCTCCTTTCTCTATATCGAAATTAATCATAAATTTCAAAATTGCAAAAATTACTAAAAAATATCTGAGAATTTCAGAAAAAAAGTACTCATAATTTAAGTTTTTTAAAACTATTAGTTCACCAATTCACCATTCAATAAATTAAACGGGTCTTTTGATACGCGAAATCAAATTTTCACAATTTTTATATTTTTATTATTTTAATTATATACTTAAAAAATCTAATGAAAACCGATGTCCTTTGGTATTTCTTTCATACAGGTATATTTATTAAAGGACAATAAAAAAATTTCTAAAAAGAAAACAACTTTAAAACGTAAAGATCGATGCCCAATATTTAATGAATCAATGATATTTAGTATACCACCATTTTTACTTAATACAATACAAGTGCGCCTTACTGTAATGAGTATATCAACAGATCAACAATTACCAATTCAACAGCAGCAGCAGCAGCAACAACAACAACAACAATTACAACAACAATATTGTGAAACTCTTGGACATATTTTCATTGGTAATGGCACATCTGGTAAAGGTATTAAACATTGGAATCAAATGTTATCATCATTACGAAAACCAGTAGCTATGTGGCATCCATTGAGAAAAACTAAACCAAAATCAATAACAAAAGATATTACATAATAAGATTTTTCACATAATATATACTTAATTATATACATAACTGTAATATACAATTATATAGATTATGTATAATATTATTTTAACAATACATTAGATATTTATTCATTAAAATTTAAATTATATGTAAAAAAAAATTTATATATACATATTATTCATTCTTGTATACTCATTTATATATATATTACTACCATTTAGTAAAATTATATATACATATACACAAGTAAATGCATTCTTGTTAATATACATATATTAATAAAATGAATCATCACAAAATCCTTATAGCTAGTTAGTTATACATGCTTATACACATGCATATTATATACATAAGAATATCCTGTTTTATTTCATTTTAAATAAGCTCATTAAAGCGATTTTTTTATTCAATTGAAAGTTGCAAAATATTGTATTTGGCGGTAGACGGAGTTTGAATTTATTAAAATGATAATGTTTGTAAGGAATCCAAATTTGTTGTATATTATTAATTTATTAATTTAATAATTAAAAAAACTGCAAATAAACAGAAATTTCGTTTAGAAATTTCCAAAAATTTCACCACCTACTTCCAAATAAATCTAAATAATCTTCCAAATACTTTTCTTCCCCGAAGCCTGTTATTGCTTCAATTTAAGAGATGTTAATAATGTTTGATTATGCCATATTACACTGGTATATATTGAATAACCGATTTTAAGCATTACTAATAAATTTGTAATTTTAATTAAGGTTGCAAAAATTTCGGAAAAAATAAGTGGATAAGTGCTTGTTCTTTAAGTGATTTATATATTAACTATTTCCTATACGGTTCAGTAATTAAAAAAAAAGTATTTTTCGAAATTTGTATTTCGTTACTTTCAGAATAACTATCTTGTCACTATTCCAAATTTGATAAAAAAATATAAATTAATTTATATTACAATATTACGAAAACAATAAACCTAATGAAATATCTCCGAGACTCAATAGTACTTCCGAAAAATAGATCCAAACGCAGAAAACTAATAGGAAATAATTTTTTTTTTGCTTTTATTCTCGGGTTGTCGAACCTCTAAGTTGGTCTTTCTGAAGAGCCTTCATTTTTTACAATTTTCCAATGCATATACAGGTTGATTCAGAAAGCTATACAACAACATATACCATTGCTTAGAAAATCGAAAATGAGTGAAATTTTTGTTCCAGACTGGGAGCCAGATCTCAAATTTTTCCGAGTTCCAGGGGTTTTAACGAATTTTCACGAAATTTTTATTATTCAATTTTTTGGGATTATAACTCCCATTCTGAAAAAGATAGGAACTTCAAAAAATAGTTCCTAAAAAGCCTAGAGAAAAGAAAAAGACTTAACATAGACATGCTGCTTGATTCTGTTTTTTTTTTGTACCTTCGGAGTATCAAGCATTTGAACTTTAAGAAAAATCAAATTTTTCCCTTTTTATTTTTTTCAGTCTTTTTCTAACTGGATAATTTCGTAAGAAAATTTTTTAAACCTGGGAATTTTCTTTATAGCACTTTTCCCAGCTGCTTAAACTTCAATTTAAGCCCTCGAATATTAAAAAATTTTTACGGAACAGAAGATATAGTACAAAAACCACAAATATTGTAGGCAATAAATTCAATTAAAATCATACCAGAATATGGCATGCCTTTAAAAATTCGTTCCAGCTGCATAATTTTTATAATTTCAGATGCCAAATGGTGTCTAGATTTCGAAAATATTTTTTTTTAATTTTTAAATTGCACCCAATCTGAGAAAAATTCATTTAAAAATTTCATACCATATAGGTACCATTTCTTACAAAAATTGGCAAAAATAAAAAATCTATCAATTTTATTTACCAAGAAAAGTTTCGAAAAAAAATTTTTGATTACTAGATTTTTTTTTTTCCTAATTGAAAATTCAAGTTTTCCTTTTCAAAAATTTGAAATTTTTTAAAATCAATTTTTGTTTTTCAAATTAAAAGTTTGTCTTATTTTTAAATTAATTTTTCTTGTTTTCTCAAAACGAGAAAAAATAGAGTTGACCCTGTCAACTTTATAATACCCGTACGAATTTGTTATCTTATGTGCGAATAAATATGCTATAGTTGACTGTGGGAACTATGGTCTTTGGTTGCCATATTACAATAATTATTTATGTAAAATTTCAGTACTGGGTTTTCAATATTTTCTAAGAAATTTTAAACTCTTTACTGGGTCTTTCAGAAACTCTTTGTTTGAAGTTCCTATCTTTTTCAGAATGGAAATTATAATCCAAAAACCTTGAATAAGTAAAAATTTCATGAGAATTCGTTAAAACCCATAGAATTCGGAAACCCTTGAGATCTGGCACCCAGTCCGGAACAAAAGCTTTACTCATTTTCGATTTTCTAACCAATGGTATAGCTTTCTGAATTACCCTGTATATATATACTTATAGTAAACACCATTATGCATTACAACGCAATTTCAAAAATAGAATTTTGAATAGTAAAGAATTTTTTGCAACTTTCAAAGTAAAAATTAAACCAATATACTATAAAAATTTTAGAAAAAAAAAAAAATAAAACATAAACATTTGTGATATTAAAATATATAAAAAGAAAATTTAATATAAAATTCAACTTACATACATACATACTTATATCATATTTTTACTTTTTTTCTTTTTTATAAATCATTCGGAAACAAAATTTAAACTATTCTACAAAATCAAAAATCAAATCATATACACCTTTACAATTAATTCTATATAATAAAATATAAAAATATTATATTAAAAGTTATTATTATATAATTTTTAATTGTTGAATAAATAAAATTCAAAAAAATACTAGTTAATTAAGGAAGTTTTGTGAAATAAAAAACACAACAAAACAGTAAACAAAAATAAATTAAAAATTTTTTACTAATGCATAAAATAAAATATTACAATTAATATAAATATTTTTCCATAATTATATCAACATTAACTACTTTATAACAATATATATCAAATATATATTAAAAAATTACAAAAAGGAAATATTACAAATTAAAATAATAATGTTAAAATCCTTAAAAATAAAAAAAAAATATTTAACTAAAAAACTCACATATAAATTATAATACAACCATAAATTTTTTTACTAAATTATTATTAAAAAACAAAATTATAATATTAAATAAAATTAAAAATACATATTATATACTTACAATTATAGAATATATACACAAACACATACATATAACAATTTAAAATAACATTTAAAAAAAAAAACAAATACAATTCTTTTCTACATTTTCTCTTATATTAAAACTGTAATATTTTAAATATATGTACATATATGTTCATATCATAATCAAACTAAAAAAATAATACAACAATTACAATTATTATATTACAATATAAATACATACTATAAAACAAATATAAAAAAAAAACAGAATTAGAAAATAAAAAAAATTCAAAATTATATAACACTTATTGTAAAAAATACATAATGCATATGTATATTGTATAAAATATAAATATTTATAACTATAAACATAATTGAAACGCTTTATATAATGGAATTGTATAAAAGGAAAACATTCTAACAAAAAGAAAAAAACAACTCAGTTATTTGAATAATATTTTATTTGTTATATACTATTAATATTGTTATATTGTTAACTTTAATGAATTTTTAATTGTAATTCAAATCCGGAAATAATTTAATGTATTTAAATTTTTAAATTTTAAAATTATAATTTTTAGAACTTTTCTTGTCAACAAACCAAAATTTGGTATTCACATATACATAGTTTCTACATCCTATACAATAATCGAGAGTAATCAAAATCTAAATGAAATAGTAAAGATATAACTACGTGCACTAATTATACAGGAAAGTTATAACTATAACCTAAAATTTATAACATTTATGTATAAAACAAGGCCGACGTTTGAATTAAAGACTGAGCTTTTGCTTACCCGTGAATTCCAACGTTCTTCGGCTCCGTAATAATAATGTTTTGCAATAATAATTTTGCTGTAAATTATGAATACATGAAGCTGGTTTCTAGTGTTCCAGCAACATACAAAAACATGATTAAAAGTAGATGTTTTTTGATTAGGTATGTTACAATTGGTAGTAATTTGGTTATGCATATATAAAATAAATTAACTCAGACAGTCAGAGAATTATTAACTTAATAAATTAAAGAATTGTAACCAATCATATTAGTTACTAAAGATTGCACTTATTCCTAATCGACGTATCTTGGAAACCGGAAGTCAAACAAACACGTTTAAAGAAGTTATTCCCGAATTTTACCGAATAACTTGGATTTTTTTTTTAGCTCCTAGTTTAGAACAACAATTTGATCAGAACAATCATTAATGATTTCCTTTTTGGCATAACTTTTACAATATAAAATTCATTAAAGTAATAGTAATACTCGTATATTAATATTTTTAACCAACTATCAAATTAAAATTTTGACCATTAAATTGTACATGTACAAAATATTTTGTAAACTCCCAACATTTATTTATAATTTAATTATTAAAATACTATCATAAATTAAATAAACGCTTAATAATTTGCATACTTAATTTTAGATGTAAAAAAAAAAATAAAAAAATGAATTTAAGACAATAATTATAAAAAGCTTGAAAATTATCCTTAATATTTATATATGTAATAAATAAATTGGAATTACAATAGCTACATTCGTAATATATTTTAGGGTAGGATATTCAAAATAATTTTCTTATTTAAATAATAAAAGAAGAAATATTAAATAAAATTTTTTAATGATAATTATTTTATAAAATTAAAGGTTCATTGGCGTACAGTATAATTTAATTAAAATAGCTCCAAATTTTCCAATTATAAAAGTTAAAATATCATATAATTTCAAAATATTGTGGGTATATTAGTGTCAGACAAGTCTAAATTCAGTTAATCAGTTCAGATTAGTTTAATCAACTGGAATATAACCATTATATGTGAAACAATCTTAAATTTTGTATATATTTTTATATTTTATATAATAACTTTTATTTACGATAGGATGTCAGAACCAAAACTAGTAAAACAAAGGGGACGCACAATTAAGGAACTTGTTAAGAACACCTTTTATGGGCTCAACAACTATAATTATTGTTATAATAATTATTTGCTCAATATA